ACACATAGGTGCTGGTCATAAAATTAGAATATCGTGAAAAAGTTGATTTATTTTAATAATTCCATTCAAAAAGTGAAATTTGCACATTATATCCATTCATTACACACATAGTGAAATTTTTCAGATGTTTATTTTCTTTTAACTTTGATTATTATAACTGACAACTAATAAAAAAAATCAGTATCTCAGAAAATTAGAATATTGTGAAAACATTCAGTATTGAAGACACCTGGTGCCACAATTTAATCAGCTAATTAACTCAAAACACCTGCAAAGGCCTTTAAAGGAATCCACGATTAGGTGTAACATTAAACTTTATTTGATAAACATATTTTAACTGTAAAATACAGATTGTAAAAATACTGTAGGCTGTTTAGTTTTCTACATTTTTAAAAATATATTTCAACATGGACTGAGCCATTTTATTTACACACAAAGCATTCTGGGTAAATGATGACATGGATAGGTCCTCAGTGTGAGGCTGCTAGCGAGCTATATCCACCCTGAAGGTTAATCTTGGACAATATCAGACGATTGACTCTTCTAAATGAAACCAGAGAGTGTTGACCGAGAGGTGAAGGTAGAAATGACTCAGCCTATAATTGAAATTGTGGATGGAGGACAACAGAGCTGCTTCATGGAAGAACCTCAGCTTAGCCTGTTAACTTCAGCTTTAGCTTTAGTGTCGACGCTATCACCATATACACTGTTTATGTATTAGTTCGGCGCTAGCAGCACAAACCAACAAGCTAAACTGAGGTCCTCCGTCCATATTTTCAGTTGCAGGCTGAGTCATTTTTGCGTTTCCCCTCTCTGTCATGTGGATGGAGGACCTCAGTGAAGAGAAGAGAAGCGGCTGTGGTGGAGTGGTTAGGGGAGTCGTCCTGGAACCGGAAGGTCGCCGGTTTGATCCCCTGTCCAGCCGTCTCAGTCATTATGTCCTTGGGCAAGACACTTCACCCACTTTGCCTACTGATGGTGGTCAAAGGGTCCGGTGGCGCCGGTGCATGGCAGCCTCGCTTCTGTCAGTGTGCCCCAGGGCAGCTGTGGCTACAGTGTAGCTTACCATCATCAGTGTGTGAATGGGTGAATGTCTGTAAGTGTGAAGCACTTTGGGGTCTGGAGGGACTTGATAAAGCGCTCTATAAATTCAGTCCATTTAACGTTGAGCTAATACATGTGTATATGGTGATAGCGTCTGTGCTAGTGTGAAGGCTAACAGGCTAAGCTGAGGTTCTTCTTCCATGAAGCAGCTCTGTTGTCCTCCATCTATATTTTCAGTTACAGGCTGAGTCATTTCTACCTTCTCCTCTCTGTCAACGCTCTCTGGTTTCATTTAAAAGAGTCGATAGTCAGATATTGTAACCTTCAGAGAGGATAAAGCTCACTCGCCGCCTTGCACTGAGGACCCATTGACATCATCATTTACCCAGTATGCTTCGCGTGCCGCTGTCATCTTGCCCAAGAAAAGCATGATGGTTAGAGCTGGCACTGACCTGCAGGGCCTGATATATGCTCAGTAATGAAGGCAAGATCCCTCACCTTTTTTTTTTTTTTGGTTGGAACAGATGATCTGTCATGGTGACTGAGTTCAGATCCACACCCAAAAAACGTGAAGAGTTGGACCGGGACAAGAGAACTCTTTTTCCCGTTCTATGGAGAAGCCCAGCATCCTCAGGTGTGCTGACAGCTTCTCCGTTTGTGATGCTGCTTCCTGTCTGGATGGAGCCAACAGAAGCAAGTCGTCCAGATTAAACAGGATTCTCATTTCCGCTGAGCACAGAGGCTGCAGCGCCGTCTCCACACGCCTGGAGAAAAGGCGTGGTGTCATTGCGTAACCAAAAGGAAGTCGGTTGTACAGGTACCGGTTCTCCTGTTTTCTTGGGGACAAGAAAAAACTGGAAGTAACGAACCCCCTGAATTCGTCCCCACTGG